CCCCTTTGCCTTCTCCTCCTGAGTCCTCTCTTCCTGCTCTTCCTGACCCGGAGTCGGACTCTCTTCGTGCTGCCAGTCCTACTGTCACGCGTCTCCTTGCTACTGTTGTCACTGACCCTTCCTTTGAGTCCACTGCTGCGTCTGCCCTAATTACTGAGCTCGTCGACTTTGCTGCTCGCTGTCGTCTAGACTACGCTGCTAGTCTTGTTGCTGAGTCTGAGTCTGTCTGTCCTCCGTCCGTCGGGGGTGAGTGTGCCCTTGGCACGGACGTCCTTGAGGACAGGCAGGAGGAGTTCCAGTGTTTGGCTGCTGCTTCACCTCATCTCGTGTCCGTACTGCTTACCCCTGAGGGAGACCCGGATGCACTTGACATCCCGACTCCGCGCTCTTACGCGGAGGCGATAGAGGGTCCCTACTCCTCTCAGTGGCAGGCAGCTATGGACGCAGAGATGGCTTCCTGGAAGTCCACAGGCACCTACGTTGACGAGGTTCCCCCGCCTGGGGCGAACATCGTCAGTGGCATGTGGATTTTCAGGGTGAAGCGGCCGCCGGGTTCTCCGCCTGTCTTCAAGGCGCGTTACGTGGCTCGTGGCTTCAGTCAGCGGCAGGGAGTTGACTACTTTCAGACCTTCTCTCCCACCCCGAAGATGACCACTCTTCGGGTACTGCTGCACATAGCTGCTCACCGCGACTACGAGCTGCACTCTCTTGACTTCAGCACTGCTTTCTTGCAGGGCAGCCTGCACGAGGAGATCTGGCTGCGTCGCCCACCTGGCTTCACTGGGTCTTTTCCTCCTGGCACCCAGTGGAGCCTCCGGCGGCCAGTCTACGGTCTCCGCCAGGCACCGCGTGAGTGGCACGACACACTGAGGACTACACTTGCGGCTCTTGGGTTTTCTCCCTCTACTGCCGACCCGTCGCTGTTTCTGCGCACCGACACTTCTTTGCCGCCGTTCTACATCCTCGTGTACGTCGACGACTTGTTCTTCGCCACAGCTGACACTGCTGGACTCGCCTACGTGAAGTCCGAGCTGCAGAAGAGACACACGTGCACAGACCTGGGTGAACTGCGCAGCTACCTTGGCTTGCAGATCACCCAGGACAGAGCACGCCGCACCATTACCCTGACTCAGTCACACATGGTGCAGCAGGTCCTTCAGCGCTTCGGCTTCACGTACTCCTCGCCTCAGGCCACTCCTCTGCCTACTCGCCACTCGCTCTCAGCTCTGCCTTCGGATGAGTCCGTAGAGTCGAGTGGCCCGTACCCAGAGCTTGTTGGCTGCCTCATGTACCTGATGACCTGCACACGACCTGACCTTGCGTACCCTCTTAGCATTCTTGCACGCTATGTTGCTCCTGGGAGACACAGACCGGAGTACATGGCTGCAGCGAAGAGGGTGTTGCGCTACTTGTGCAGTACGTCGGGCATGGGGCTTGTGCTTGGAGGGCAGAGTCCAGTGGTCCTCACTGGGCACGCAGACGCTTCTTGGGCTGACGACCAGGCTACGCAGCGGTCGTCACAGGGTTACACCTTCAGCCTTGGTTCCGGCTCTGTTTCGTGGCGGGCTACCCGCTCGTCTTCTGTTCTCGGCTCCAGTTGTGAGGCTGAGATCTACGCTGGGGCCATGGCTGCACAGGAGCTTCGCTGGCTCACCTACCTGCTGACTGACCTCGGAGAGCCGCCTCGTTCTCCTCCAGTGCTGTACGTAGACAACAAGGCCATGCTGGCCTTGTGTCGAGAGCAGAGACTGGAGCACAGAACGAAGCACATTGCTCTCCGCTACTTCCTTGCTCGTGAGCTACAGCAGCGTGGTCAGCTGCGGCTTGCGTACGTGGCCTCTGAGGCCAACACTGCTGATATCTTCACCAAGGCACTTGCGCCTTGTGATCATCAGCGCTTCTGTACTCAGCTTGGTCTTGTGCCTACCTTGCCTCACTTGCTCACCCCTTGACCTTGTTTGTACTGTTGCATATATATATACACCTGCTCTTGCTTGTCTAGTCTTATATAGATATATATGTAATCCTGCATGTGAACTGGCCTTGTGGCCTTGAACTTGTGCTCGGAATGTGTGGTGACTTTGTGATCCACCCTGAGCTTGTTTTGCTTTGCTCGACTGGTCTTGTGACCCCTTGTTCTCCCCCACTTTGCCTATGGGGGTGTGTCAGATTTATATGACATAGCTACTGTAGGCTATAGTGGGGTAGCACATATAGGGTACAGTTTTCTAGGGTTTGCTTTTTGTACCCAACTTTCACTTAGTCATTTCATTCCTGTTTTCTTTATTCACAATCGGGCCGGGCGCGGGCTAGGTACGGGGCCGGGCGTGGGCTAGGTACGGGGCCGAGCGCGGGCTAGGTACGGGCAGCGCGGGCTAGGTACGGGCCGGTCGCGGGCTAGGTGCAGGGCCGGGCGCGGGCTAGGTACGGGGCCGGGCGCTGTGCGAGGGACGGGGCCGAGCTCTGGGCGAGGGACGGGCCGGGCACGGGCTAGGTACGGGCCGGGCGCGGGCTAGGTACGGGGCCGAGCGCGGGCTAGGTACGGGCCGGTCGCGGGCTAGGTACGGGTCAGGCGCGGGCTAGGTATGGGTCAGGCGCGGGTGGGTACGGGCCGGGTGCAGGCTAGGTACGGGCCGGACGCGGGCTAGGTACGGGCTGGGCGCGGGCGAGAGACGGTGCCGGGTGCGGGCTAGGTACGGGCCGGGCGCAGGCTTGGTACGGGCCGGGCGCGGGCGAGAGACGGGGCCGGGCGCGGGCTAGGTACGGGCCGGTCGCGGGCTAGGTACGGGCCGGTCGCGGGCTAGGAACGGGCCGGTCGCGGGCTAGGTACGGGCCGGTCGCGGGCTAGGTACGGGCCGGGCGCGGGCGTGAGACGAGGCCAGGCGCGGGCTAGGTACGGGCCGGGCGCGGGCTACGTACGGGCCGGTCGCAGGCTAGGTACGGGCCGGGCGCGGGCTAGGTACGGGCCTGTCGCGGGCTAGGTACGGGCTAGTCGCGGGCTATGTACGGGCCGGTCGCGGGCTAGGTACGGGCTGGGCGCGGGCGTGAAACGAGGCCGGGCGCGGGCTAGGTACGGGCCAGGTGCAGGCTAGGAGCCGACGAGCCGCGAAGGCTAGGAGCGACGGGCCTAGGGGGGGGGTAACTCGCAGCGTAGCAGGTGGTGGGCCCAAGGAACCTGCTCTGATTCCATGTGAAAGTAATGAACGAGGGATGAATAAACTATGAAACAGTTGGGTACAAGTACTAACCCTAATTGGGTTGTATCCCTTATGGGCTACCCCACTATAGCCTACACAAATGTATAAGCTATAATGTTCTGACTGTCGCCACGTGGATTTTCTCATCCGTTGGACTGACCGCACCAGTGAAGACGACACGTGGGTGTCATCCGCCTCGCTTGAAGACTCTCCGCTTATTGGTGATTATCTCGCCCGCAAGCGAGCTGCGGATATTGACCACCTTTCTTATGGTGGGGGTAGTGTAAGGAATTTTCCCGAATTCCTTATCGGGGTTGACTGCTTCGCGTACAGCCCCGATTTTCAGACTCTGCACGTTTGGCTGACATCAACGATGCCGAGGGTCCTCGCGTCGCCTTCGGCGTTTCACTTCGCCAAACCTGCACCTAACCTCGCTCACCCGAGGTTCCCTCCTAGCTAGGCTATCCACTACATTAGCGTGTGCCTTCATTGTATGCCACGTCTCTTGAATCACAATCTCGTTATTCGTCAATCTGCGCACTCTCCTTTACAACTCATAACAGTGTGCAGACTTTTGTAACGCGTATGCACTTTCCCTAATTACATCCCCTTTTTTTTCAGTGATGTATTACATTTGCATTCGTACATCGTCAGTTGTAACTAAACTCTTGGATACAATGATGAGGTAGAGTTTAATGAAACATACATATATATATGTGTGTGTGTGTGTGTATGTGTGTGTGTGTGTGTATGTGTGTGTGTGTGTGTTTAAATAGCATCAATACCTCTCCATGCAGCATTATATTCATATGATGTTCTTATCTCTCCAAATAAATACTTGTTGACTGTATCGCTTAACAGAGCGCGCTTTATAAATGGAGAAAACTCTAGAGTCCACGACACGACCAGCTTGCGAAAACGACGCCGTCAGACTATCATCATTTCGAGGACAACCGTCCGTCTTCGCAGCGACGCGCATTACATCTCAGGAGGAACCATCGAATCTGTCCGTCCCGCCGTAGCTGGAGAATAGGGAGTTGCTGACCTAGATAGGGAGCTGCTTCCGTATCGTATCGTATCGTATCAAGGAGATCGTATCATCCGCCTTCCCCACGTGACATGATCTCCTTGACTTTCCTTCTCGGGAATTCCGCCTCCCCGCATTCCGCCTTGCCCTTCCGCGGCCACTCCTCCCCGCTCGCCCTCCCGCTCCGCTCTCCCCCGCCCGCATTCTTCCGTCGCCGCTGCAAAACACTCCGAATTCGCGAACTCCGACGCTGCGAAGACAACCGAAGGGTGGTAACAGTAACAGGGTCGTTCGGGGGAAACCGGGGAGCAGGGGACGGGGGGAGCGTGCGGAGGGGTGACGGGCGCGGCGGGGATCATGCGCGGCGGCGGGAATGGCGCGGGGATCAGACAGAGCGGTACGAGGGAAGAGTCCGCGAAATGGGAGGGGGGAGAAGATGGGGGGGTGGGGAGGGGAGGGGAGAGGGGAGAGGAGAGGTGAGAGGAGAGGGGATCGAAGGGGACCGGAGGGGAGGCGGAAGTGGGGGAACTGATGACGAGGAGCGGGAATCATGGCGCCCCGGAAGGGCGCGGCGGACTGAGGCCAGTCCATCGCGTTTGTTGGACACTTATTCCGACCGCGATTTACGGAATTCAGGGGATTTACGCGACTCACGCTATTCACAGGATGAGGTTTCATCGCGTTTCTCCTCGTCGCGGCGCCCGCCCGTCGGTAATCGAGCGAGCGCGGACGGCTGGGGGGACTACCGCGCGGTGGAACCCATCGGCGCAGCCTCGATGAGCGCAGGGGGCCCTAGCGGAGCCCCGCGATCGGCTGGCGCGCGGGCAACTAGCGGAGCAACGGGGACCGCCGGCGGAACCGGCATCGGCGGAACGGGGAGGGGCGCAGCTCCGGGGAAGACTCCGCCGAAACACCCGCTGGCGCGGCGGCTGCGCGGGAAGAAAACCGAAGAAACCCTCGCAAAGGAGATTGGCGTGGTGATGGTTCAGCTGGGAAAGCTGGAGGCGGGCGGGGAGCGGAAGGTACGGCACGTGCTGCGGAAATACGCCAAGTGCTTCGGCCCGGAGTGCGTTCTTGGTGCTCTGAACGAGCTCATGCGGCGGAACGACGTGGACCGTACGATCGAGGCGTTTGAGTGCATCCGGACCGCTCACTGGTTCGAGCCGGATCCAATGCTTTATGCGCGGATGATTGAGGTGCTGGCGCGGAACTCGCGCACAGACACTGCTGCTGCGCTCTTCGCCTCCATGGATGGGGGACCCGCTGTGCCCCTCACTGGCGGAATGGCCATGCTCGTGGGCGCAGGGGGGGGTGGGGGGAGCGGTGGGGGAGGGGCTGGGAGGGGTGGTGTGAGGGAGGATGTGAGGGAGGGTGTGAGGGGGAATAGGTGGGAGTCTGGCAGTGATGACGATGATTCCAGTGGTGATGACGTGGATGGGTCGGATGATGAGCTGGCACCAGGCCTGGGGTATGATGACGAGGATGAGGATGATCCGGATGGGGATCGGTGGGGCACGAGCAAGGGACGGCGGAGGCGACTCAAGAAGAAAGCTGCTGCTGCTGCCACTGCAGGTGGAAGAAGCAGAGGAGGGAGAGGAACAGGAGAAGGCGCAGGAGGAGCAGGAGGAGCAGGAGGAGCAGGAGGAGACACATCAGCGGCAGCAGCGTTGGCGCGGCTGCCTCGTGTGAAACCATGTGTGCGCACGCCCTCAGTGTATGCAGCGATGATCGAGGCGTACGGTCGCCGCCACCAGGCCACGGCTGCCCTCGCACTGCTGCACCAGATGAAGGCCACTCCTGGTTCTGCACCTGATGCTGCGGCCTATGGGTGAGTGAGCTTGTTTTCTCATGTGACCTTCATTCATTCACAGTAAGTGACCCACTCATCATACATATCCGGCTGCCCTCGCACTGCTGCACCAGATGAAGGCCACTCCTGGTTGTGCACCTGACGCGGCAGCTTATGGGTGAGTCGGTTTTGTGTGCCCACTCCTCCACGGGCATATGGGTGAGCTTCTTCTTCTTTCATGTGAGATTCATTCACAATGATTGATCATTCACTTGTAGATATACAGCTGTCCGCGCCCTGCTGCACCAGAAAAAGACCGCCCTGGGTTGTGCTCCTCACGCTGCAGCGTGTGGTTGAGTGAGTGAGGTTCTTCACTCCTGTGCGCCGCGTCACTTTCACAGTGAGCGTTTCTGAGTTGTATTTAGGGTACAACAGCAGACATGAGCAAATGCCCTGGTCGGTTCTTGTCGACCCGACCCGACGCTGATTTTTGCCAGGTCGGTTCACAGATGCGACGCATGTGAAGGGGTCTCGGGTCAGCCCGTAGGGCTTGGGTTGGGTTTACCCAAATTCTTGTTTTATGTCCGGTATTATTAAGTGCGTCCGTGCGTGCGTGCGTTCGCACGAGCGTAGGGCGTTGTGTGATATCACATCAATTCCACACCGACCTGTGTGCGCCCAATGCTGCCGTCTATGCAATGTGATGCCATGCCAATGCCATGCCAATGCCATGCCAATGCCATGCCAATGCCATGCCAATGCCATGCCAATGCCTGCCAATGCCATGCCAATGCCATGCCGTGACATGCCATGCCGAGGAGGACCCCATTCCCCCTCCCTATTCCAGGTCTGCAGTGAAGGCGCTGTGTTTGGTAAGGCGCACAACAGAAGCAGAGGACCTGCTGGCAGACATGGCGCACAGGGCCGTGCTGCCAGACGCCACGCCCTTTAACAACCCCAATCTTCCGTTGCCCCTTTGCCCCCCTCCCACCTGCTTCACCACCTCTGACTGACTTCCCAGGTCGGCAGTGAAAGCTCTCTGTCTGGTAGGGCGCACAACAGAAGCTGAAGACCTCCTAGCAGTCATGACACACAGGGGCGTGCTACCAGACTCCACGCCCTTCAGCGGCCCTCGCATTTCCCCCTTTCCCCTGCTGCACCACCCCTGTTCCCAGATCGGCAGTGAAGGCCCTCTGTCTGGTGCCGAACCTGGGAGGCAGAGGGCCTGCTGCTGGCAGACATGGCGCACAGGGCCGTGCTACCAGACTCCACGCCCTTTAACGCCCCCCTCTTTCTCGCCCTCCCCTTGCTTCACCACGCGTGGATATTCCCAGGTCGGCAGTGAAGGCACTATGCCTGGTAGGCCGCACCACGGAGGCAGAGGATCTTCTAGCGGACATGGCGCACAGGGGCGTGCTGCCTGACGCCACTCCCTTCAACGCCCTGATTGACGCGTACGGGGGTGCGGGGCAGCTGCAGCTGATGCGAGACAAGTTCTTTGAACTCACCAGCGTGGGGTTGAGGCCAGACGTGCGCACGTTCAATGGACTCATCCGAGGTTTCGGCAGGTGAGGGGTGGTTGAGAGGGATTGACTGAGAGGGGGTGTTGAGAGACACGTGTGTGTGGGCGGGCATAGGAGGGGGATAGTGCGGGGCAGCTGCAGCTGATGCGAGACAAGCTCTTTGGGCTCACCAGCGTGGGGCTCGGGCCAGACGTGCGCACGTTCAATGGCCTCATTAGGGGTTTCGGCAGGTGAGGGTTGGGTGAGAGCGATTGATTGTGATGGGGTGCTGAAACACACGTGTGTGGTGTGAACACGTGGGGGGGAGGGGGGCAGGTGCAGCTGATGCGAGACAAGTTCTTTGAACTCACCAGCGTGGGACACAAACCCGATGCGCGCACTTTCAATGGGCTCATCCGAGGCTTCGGCAGGTAAGGGGTGGGTGAGAGGGATTGCTTGCGACAGGGTGGGTGCTAATACTTGAGTGTGTAATCACTCGTACGGGGGTGCCGGGCAGCTGCAACTGATGTGTCGTCAGGGGCCTTGGCATATGAGGGGGGATGAGACAGAGATGTGAGAGAGAAAGAGGTGATGTACTGGGCGTGATAGGCGGTGGGGCAGGTGCAGGGAATCTGGGGCACGCTCCTTGAGGTGACAATTATTTTAGAAGCTCCTCATGTATCCATTGCCTTTCTTTCCCACACACTGTGGGCCGAGTTGGTTTTTGAGTCGACTAAAACCCCAGCTCAAACGCTGCACGCATGGCAGCTTGTGAAACGCTGAGAGACGCCAGCATCAGTGCACAGCTTGGCTGCCTCTTCCTCATGTGTGCATCGCCCCTCTTTCCCACACACACGGTGGGCCTGCCAACACAGACAGAGGCAGCGCGACGCATATATCATCTTCTGAGTCAACACAAAAGTCGGCAGTTCTTGTTTCACTTATGAGAATTGCAGATGGGGTACCGTGCAGTGCCCAGCGGGCCACCTCTTCAGGTTCCCTGTGCACTTTCCTGTGCCCGGCCACCTAGCAAGTCTATTATCAGAGATGGAGGCGGTGTTTGAGAACGTGCGGATGGGGTACCGCACAGCGCCCAACTTGCACACCTTTGCTGCTTCTTGTGCCCTTAGTTGTACATCTCTCCCTGTACTTGTGCCTCTCTCTTCCTCCTCCCCACACCCAGAGCCGGTCTGTTGTCAGAGATGGAAGCAGTGTTTGAGAACATGCAGATGGGGTACCGCACAGCACCCAACGTACATACATTCCACGCCCTCATGGATGCCTATGGCGCCCACGCCCTCCGATTTCTGCACCGCCAAGACAGCAAGGGAACCGAGTGGTTTGAGTTGCAGCATGAAGCCGCTCAGAGACAGCCGCAGCAGGAGCGGGAGGAGGAGGAGCAGACGGGGAGACGGGAGGGGAGGCAGCAGGAGGCCTGCCAGCGAGGCGGAGGGGAGCGGGAGGGGAGGTTTGGGAGGTCTGAGAGGAGGGGAGGGGATGCTGATGCTGATGCAGCGGAGGGGCAGCAGGGGGGGAGGCAGCGGAGTGCAGAGCGCAGGCGGGGTGTGTTTGATCGCATGCAGCGCACGCTGCTGCATCTGGTGAAGATGCGCTACCGCCTGCATGCCGAGTCGTTCGACCTGCCTCTCAAGTACCTGGCTCAGGTGATTCTCTGCTGCCCTCGAACCTGGCTGAAGTGTGAGCCTCTGCTGGTTCGGTACCTGGCTCGGCACACTGCTGTGGTTGCCAAGTCGTGGTGCCTCCACGCCAAGCCTAACCTTGCAGTCGCTCAGCACACTGCTGCTCCGCTCCTATCCTTCAACGTCACAAAGTGTATTTCGCCTCACGTGCACCACTGCAGGCGGGCATGGTGGAGGAGATGGAGAAGGTGTTTCGGCTGATGAGAGCCATCGGCGTGCGCCTCACACCCACCACCTTCCCTCTGTCTTTCTTGGCCTCTCCCTTTTCCTCTCCACTTCCATGCATACTTTCTACTGCAGGCCGGTATGGTGGAGGAGATGGAGAAGGTGTTTCGGCTGATGAGAGCCATCGGCGTGCGCCTCACACCCACCACCTTCCCTCCGTCTTTCTTGGCCTCTCCCTTTTCCTCTCCACTTCCATGCATACTTTCTACTGCAGGCCGGTATGGTGGAGGAGATGGAGAAGGTGTTTCGGCTGATGAGAGCCATCGGTGTGCGCCCCACACCCACCACCTTCCCTCCCTCTTTCCTGGCCTCTCCCTTTTCCTCTCCACTTCCATGGATACTTTCTACTGCAGGCCGGTATGGTGGAGGAGATGGAGAAGGTGTTTCGGCTGATGAGAGCCATCGGCGTGCGCCTCACACCCACCACCTTCCCTCCCTCTTTCCTGGCCTCTCCCTTTTCCTCTCCACTTCCATGGATACTTTCTACTGCAGGCCGGTATGGTGGAGGAGATGGAGAAGGTGTTTCGGCTGATGAGAGCCATCGGCGTGCGCCTCACACCCACCACCTTCCCTCCCTCTTTCCTGGCCTCTCCCTTTTCCTCTCCACTTCCATGGATACTTTCTACTGCAGGCCGGTATGGTGGAGGAGATGGAGAAGGTGTTTCGGCTGATGAGAGCCATCGGCGTGCGCCTCACACCCACCACCTTCCCTCCGTCTTTCTTGGCCTCTCCCTTTTCCTCTCCACTTCCATGCATACTTTCTACTGCAGGCCGGTATGGTGGAGGAGATGGAGAAGGTGTTTCGGCTCATGAGGGCAATCGGCGTGCGCCCCACACCCACCACCTTCACCCTTCTCGCTGACGCCTACAGCGCCGCCGGGCAGCCCAAACAAATCCTGCGCCTGCTCAAGCAGATGCAGTCCATGCCCCTTGCTACCCGAAAAGAAAACAATTCTGCTCTTAACAGCAGCAGCAGCAGCAGCAGCAGCAGTGGCAGTGGTGATTCTTCCAGTGCACGCAGCAGGCTGCTTGCAGCGGCAGCAGTGGCATTCGCCTCAGCTGTGGAGATCAAGGAGATGGAGTGGTGCCTGCTGCTCCTCCACCCTCTCACCACCACCCCTTCCTCCGGCCCCACTCTCTCCTCCCCCTCCTCTACCTCCTCTCCCTCCACCTCTCCCGCCTCCTCTCCCTCTTCCTCGTCCCGCTCCACCTCCTCGGCCTCATCCTTCCCCCCTGCCACCCTGGCCGATCCCGCGCGGCTGCAAGCATGGGTGGGGGCGGGGGGCGGAGGCGTGGGGGTGGTGTCGGCAGCAGTGGAGGCATACGCGCGTGCAGGCATGCTCTCTCACATGGAGGCTCTATTCATGGGGGCTCAGGGCATGGGGATGGGTGCATGGGGGATGGGGATGGGTGCAGGTGGCATGGGATTCGATGCCCGTGGCATGGGGATGGGTGCGATGGGGGCAGGTGAGAGCATGGGAATGGCTGCGGCAGGAGATGGGATGGGTGCAGGAAGGATGGGGGCAGGTGGCATGGGTGGGAGTGATTCGGCTTGGGGGAGAGGTGCGGTGGAGGGCATTGGAGGTGGGAGGATGGGGGGAATGGGGGTGCATGGTGGGGGAATAGGGGGACGGATTATGGGGGGAGGGACGATTGCAGGAGAGACCATGGGGAGAAGAACCATGGGTGGGGGGATGATGGTGGAAGGGCGGATATGGGGAGGGAGGGAGGGGAGGTCATGGGAGGGGAATGGAGGGGGATCAAGGGGATGGGTAGAGGGGCCTGTGGAAACAGGGATGGCGGTAGCTGGAGGAGTTGAGTACGGTGCTAATGGTAGCTATGGCCTTGGTGGTGATAGGTCGAGGTACGGAGGCGAGGGTTATGAGGGTGATGGGTATGGTGGCGTGGTGAGAAGCTATCAGGGCTATCAGGGTCTTTCCTCCTTCCCCTCCCCTCCCTCATCCAGTTCACATCACCACCCCCGCGGCCGCCACCGGCTCGTTTTGTCCTCATCTGCATGCAACGCCATGGCTGAAGCTTATGCTGCAGTGGCCTCCCCGGGCGGCGTGAGGCGAGTCATGGCTTATATGCTTCGGCATGGAGTGGCCCGCAACGAGACGACCATCGCCGCCCTCCTCTCTGCCTGCGCAGCTGCTGCTGACGTGGCGGGGATGGAGGCGGCTCTGCAGCGGGCGGTGCGACGTGGCATGCTGGAAACAACTCCAGCTGGCGCCTACGTGGCACCAGGCGGAGCAGTCCGGAGCCTGCCAGCTGGCGCTTATGTGGCAGCAGCGCAGGCGTTTGGAACTGCAGGGAAGGTGGGAAGGATGAGGGAGATGCTGGGAATCGCACGGCAAGTGGGGCAGGCGGGGCAGGTGGGGCAGGTGGGGCAGGTGGGGGAGGCGGGAGTTGTGCAAAGTCACTTAGGGAATGATTCTGGTGGTGGAAAGGGAATGAGAGTGGGTGAGAGTAGGAGCGGATCTGAATTGGGTGGTATTGGAGGTGGGATGGGAGGAAGGGGGGAGTGGTTCCTGGATGGAGAGAAACGACCGTGGGCAGCTGCAGAGGAGGTTGAGAGGGAGTGCTATTTGACTGCCATCGACGCTTTTCTTGCCTCTGCTGATAACGATGACGATGCTGGTGATAGCTGCAGTGGTGGTTTGGCCGACACTTGGAGAAAGAGAGAGGGAGAAGGGGGAGCAGCCGGCAACAGATGGTCCGAAGCTGACTCACCAGCAGCAGCTTCGGCGATAGGTTCGGCAGCCGGGGCAACCGAGGAGCCACCAGCTTTGGGGCGAGCGGAGGCGCTATTGGAGGAAATGCATGGGCGGGGGATGTGTGCTGACATGGCGACGTACAGTGCTGTGCTGGCAGCGAGGGGGCATGGGGCGGTGGTGGAGGGGGCAGCAGAGGAGGTGCTTGAGGTGGAGGCGTGGGGGATGAGTGAGGGGGCCGTGTGCGCTGCTGCCCTGCTCTTGCTGCTGGCACAGGCACAAGCACAAGCACAAGCACGGGCAGAGACAGACAGAAAGAATACCCCAACACAAGTGGAATGTATGTCATCTGATGCTACTGCTGCTCCTGCTTCTGCTCTGCCTACTGCTACTGCTGCGACGGCCTCTGCAGCATCAGCAGAATCCCACCTGCTGCTTCACTGGCTCTGCTCCCTACAGGCTGGTCGCTTCCGCCCTCTCGTTTGCTTCCTGGGCCTGTCGCCGGTAGAGGGTGGGATGACACGGGACTTGACGCTGGATGGAGGCTTGGAGAGCAGAGGAGTAACTTTTGAGCTGACTCAAAAGTCGCTGGAGGGAGGCTTGGAGAGCAGAGGAGTGGGGCAGCAAGAGGTGGTTGGGAGATTTGGCTCGCAGGGCAGTGGAGAGGAGCGGCGGCAACAGCTGACAGGATCTGATGCTTCATCAGCACAAGAGAAGGCTCTGTTCCACGACTTAAGGAAGCTTCTTCGAAGCGTCCAAGGCAGTGCCCACCCTGCTTCCCTGCGCCCTCTGTTTGCCTCTCTTGCCGCAGCTCTCTGCAGGTTTGGCAGGCTTCGCCGAGCCTGTTTGGTCCTGGAAGAGGCTCGGAGATTTGGAACATATCCAACACCGCCGAGCCTACCTGTGCCGAGCCTGGCTGGCCCGGTTTGGTCGCTGGACCTGCACTTGTACCGAGGTCCGGTGGCAGTGCTTGCACTGGCAGTGTGGCTGGAGGAGCTCTGCTGGAAGATTTCCAAAGCTGAAAAGGAGGCTCGGGATGGTTTAGTGGAAGGCTCGGGAGGAGAGAGACTCGGAAGGCAAGTATTGAAAGGAGATATTGAAGGGGATGATGAGAAACAGTGGCCTGAGCGAGCAGTGATTGTATTGGAGGCCAGTGGGCATGAGTTGCTGGAGCCATCACAAGGGCGGAGAGCTGTGAGGGACTTTATGGCTTGTAGTGAGTCGCCTTTTAAAGCGGTCAGTAGTGATCCGTATGGGCGCATGGATGCAGAGGTGGATGGGTTGAGGGAATGGGTGGATGGGAAGTGGCCGATAGCAAGTGATGCAGGGAAAACAGCAGGGAGCGTTGCCTTGAAGCATTTCAGGCCTGGTCTGTGGCAAGACGTGAGAAACTTTCTGCTGGTTTATTTTGAGCAATGATTTGCAGTCAAAACCTATCAAGTGGCTTGATAATACAATAATGGTTCCTATGTAATGATTTCAGCTCATTTGATATGTGCACATGATATGCATGCCTCAGCGTACTCCACTGTTGCATGCGGATGTTCAATGTGCGTAAGAAATGGGTGCTTACATCCAACACAAGGGGGAGGGGGCAGAGACTGGAAGCAAGCAACATATACAAAAACCTTGTACATCAAGACTTGGCAAATCCTAGCTGCCAAACCCATGAGAAGGAATTTCCGAACAGTGGAGCCCCACGGGTGTGGCCCACACTCCATCAGCATGGCCGAGGGACTGATGGGACTAGATTTGTGCATGGGTATGTGATGAAGGATGTGCATGGGCATGTGATGTGGATGTGCTCTGGCATGTATGAGGGATGTGCATGGGGATGGGAATAGGGATTGGCATGAAATTAATTCAAGGGATGGGCATGGGGATGACATGGGATGTGCATGGGCATGGGACAAGGGATGGTAGGGGATGGTACTAGGGATGAGAATGGGGTGGGAACATGGATGGGCAAGGGGATGGGCCTACGGATGGGATGGAAACTAAGGGTGGGATTGGAAGTAGGAATATGGATGAGCATTTGGATGGGACAGGGCATGGGGATGGGATTGGGGAAGGGGATGGGAGTAGGGAAGGGCATGTACATGCACATGGAACTAGGGATTGGCGCGGGGATAGGATTAAAGCCAGGATCTCAAGTATTTGAACTGTTTTGCAGTTGGTGAATTAAGCTAGGCTATGATTGGTTAGCGAGGTAGAGAAGTTGACAAGGGTTGAAACGATGGATGCGAAGCAAACACAAATCGCAGGGTGCTTCCGAACCACCTAGGCATGGAAAATTGGTTGGGTGCCGCAGCTAAACTACCAGCAATGTGTTTCAGCTCCCGAAAAATCTCATGTACCAGCAATGTGTTTCAGCTCCCGAAAAATCTCATGTACCAGCAATGTGTTTCAGCTCCCGAAAAATCTCATGTACCAGCAATGTGTTTTAGCTCCCGAAAAATCTCATGTACCAGCAATGTGTTTCAGCTCCCAAACAATCTCATGTACCAGCAATGCGTTTCAGCTCCCGAAAAATCTCATGTACCAGCAATGTGTTTCAGCTCCCGAAAAATCTCATGTACCAGCAATGTGTTTCAGCTCCCGAAAAATCTCATGTACCAGCAATGCGTTTCAGCTCCCGAAAAATCTCATGTACCAGCAATGTGTTTCAGCTCCCGAAAAATCTCATGTACCAGCAATGTGTTTCAGCTCCCGAACAATCTCATGTACGAGCAATGTGTTTCAGCTCCCGAAAAATCTCATGTACCAGCAATGTGTTTCAGCTCCCGAACAATCTCATGTACCAGCAATGCGTTTCAGCTCCCGAAAAATCTCATGTACCAGCAATGTGTTTCAGCTCCCGAAAAATCTCATGTACCAGCAATGTGTTTCAGCTCCCGAAAAATCTCATGTACCAGCAATGTGTTTCAGCTCCCGAAAAATCTCATGTACCAGCAATGTGTTTCAGCTCCCGAAAAATCTCATGTACCAGCAATGTGTTTCAGCTTTCAAAAATCTCATGTACCAGCAATGTGTTTCAGCTCCCGAAAAATCTCATGTACCAGCAATGTGTTTTAGCTCCCGAAAAATCTCATGTACCAGCAATGTGTTTCAGCTCCCAAACAATCTCATGTACCAGCAATGCGTTTCAGCTCCCGAAAAATCTCATGTACCAGCAATGCGTTTCAGCTCCCGAAAAATCTCATGTACCAGCAATGCGTTTCAGCTCCCGAAAAATCTCATGTACCAGCAATGTGTTTCAGCTCCCGAACAATCTCATGTACCAGCAATGTGTTTCAGCTCCCGAACAATCTCATGTACCAGCAATGTGTTTCAGCTCCCGAAAAATCTCATGTACCAGCAATGTGTTTCAGCTCCCGAAAAATCTCATGTACCAGCAATGTGTTTCAGCTCCCGGAAAATCTCATGTACCAGCAATGTGTTTCAGCTCCCGAAAAATCTCATGTACCAGCAATGTGTTTCAGCTCCCGAAAAATCTCATGTACCAGCAATGTGTTTCAGCTCCCAAAAAATCTCATGTACCAGCAATGTGTTTCAGCTCCCGAAAAATCTCATGTACCAGCAATGTGTTTCAGCTCCAGAAAAATCTCATGTACCAGCAATGCGTTTCAGTTCCCGAAAAATCTCATGTACCAGCAATGCGTTTCAGCTCCCGAAAAATCTCATGTATCAGCAATGCGTTTCAGCTCCCGAAAAATCTCATGTACCAGCAATGCGTTTCAGCTCCCGAAAAATCTCATGTATCAGCAATGCGTTTCAGCTCCCGAAAAATCTCATGTACCAGCAATGCGTTTCACTCCCGAAAAATCTCATGTACCAGCAATGCGTTTCAGTTCCCGAAAAATCTCATGTACCAGCAATGCGTTTCAGCTCCCGAAAAATCTCATGTATCAGCAATGCGTTTCAGCTCCCGAAAAATCTCATGTACCAGCAATGCGTTTCACTCCCGAAAAATCTCATGTACCAGCAATGTGTTTGAGCTCCCAAAAAATCTCATGTACCAGCAATGTGTTTCAGCTCCCGAAAAATCTCATGTACCAGCAATGTGTTTCAGCTCCCGAAAAATCTCATGTACCAGCAATGCGTTTCAGCTCCCGAAAAATCTCATGTACCAGCAATGTGTTTCAGCTCCCGAAAAATCTCATGTACCAGCAATGTGTTTCAGCTCCCGAACAATCTCATGTACGAGCAATGTGTTTCAGCTCCCGAAAAATCTCATGTACCAGCAATGTGTTTCAGCTCCCGAACAATCTCATGTACCAGCAATGCGTTTCAGCTCCCGAAAAATCTCATGTACCAGCAATGTGTTTCAGCTCCCGAAAAATCTCATGTACCAGCAATGTGTTTCAGCTCCCGAAAAATCTCATGTACCAGCAATGTGTTTCAGCTCCCGAAAAATCTCATGTACCAGCAATGTGTTTCAGCTCCCGAAAAATCTCATGTACCAGCAATGTGTTTCAGCTTCCAAAAAATCTCATGTACCAGCAATGTGTTTCAGCTCCCGAAAAATCTCATGTACCAGCAATGTGTTTCAGCTCCCAAACAATCTCATGTACCAGCAATGTGTTTCAGCTCCCGAAAAATCTCATGTACCAGCAATGCGTTTCAGCTCCCGAAAAATCTCATGTACCAGCAATGCGTTTCAGCTCCCGAAAAATCTCATGTACCAGCAATGCGTTTCAGCTCCCGAAAAATCTCATGTACCAGCAATGTGTTTCAGCTCCCGAACAATCTCATGTACCAGCAATGTGTTTCAGCTCCCGAACAATCTCATGTACCAGCAATGTGTTTCAGCTCCCGAAAAATCTCATGTACCAGCAATGTGTTTCAGCTCCCGAAAAATCTCATGTACCAGCAATGTGTTTCAGCTCCCGGAAAATCTCATGTACCAGCAATGTGTTTCAGCTCCCGAAAAATCTCATGTACCAGCAATGTGTTTCAGCTCCCGAAAAATCTCATGTACCAGCAATGTGTTTCAGCTCCCAAAAAATCTCATGTACCAGCAATGTGTTTCAGCTCCCGAAAAATCTCATGTACCAGCAATGTGTTTCAGCTCCAGAAAAATCTCATGTACCAGCAATGCGTTTCAGCTCCCGAAAAATCTCATGTACCAGCAATGCGTTTCAGCTCCCGAAAAATCTCATGTATCAGCAATGCGTTTCAGCTCCCGAAAAATCTCATGTACCAGCAATGCGTTTCAGCTCCCGAAAAATCTCATGTATCAGCAATGCGTTTCAGCTCCCGAAAAATCTCATGTACCAGCAATGCGTTTCACTCCCGAAAAATCTCATGTACCAGCAATGCGTTTCAGTTCCCGAAAAATCTCATGTACCAGCAATGCGTTTCAGCTCCCGAAAAATCTCATGTATCAGCAATGCGTTTCAGCTCCCGAAAAATCTCATGTACCAGCAATGCGTTTCACTCCCGAAAAATCTCATGTACCAGCAATGTGTTTCAGCTCCCAAAAAATCTCATGTACCAGCAATGTGTTTCAGCTCCCGAAAAATCTCATGTACCAGCAATGTGTTTCAGCTCCCGAAAAATCTCATGTACCAGCAATGCGTTTCAGCTCCCGAAAAATCTCATGTACCAGCAATGTGTTTCAGCTCCCGAAAAATCTCATGTACCAGCAATGTGTTTCAGCTCCCGAACAATCTCATGTACCAGCAATGCGTTTCAGCTCCCGAAAAATCTCATGTACCAGCAATGTGTTTCAGCTCCCGAAAAATCTCATGTACCAGCAATGTGTTTCAGCTCCCGAAAAATCTCATGTACCAGCAATGTGTTTCAGCTCCCGAAAAATCTCATGTACCAGCAATGTGTTTCAGCTCCCGAAAAATCTCATGTACCAGCAATGTGTTTCAGCTTCCAAAAAATCTCATGTACCAGCAATGTGTTTCAGCTCCCGAAAAATCTCATGTACCAGCAATGTGTTTCAGCTCCCAAACAATCTCATGTACCAGCAATGTGTTTCAGCTCCCGAAAAATCTCATGTACCAGCAATGCGTTTCAGCTCCCGAAAAATCTCATGTACCAGCAATGCGTTTCAGCTCCCGAAAAATCTCATGTACCAGCAATGCGTTTCAGCTCCCGAAAAATCTCATGTACCAGCAATGTGTTTCAGCTCCCGAACAATCTCATGTACCAGCAATGTGTTTCAGCTCCCGAACAATCTCATGTACCAGCAATGTGTTTCAGCTCCCGAAAAATCTCATGTACCAGCAATGTGTTTCAGCTCCCGAAAAATCTCATGTACCAGCAATGTGTTTCAGCTCCCGAAAAATCTCATGTACCAGCAATGTGTTTCAGCTCCCGAAAATCTCATGTACCAGCAATGTGTTTCAGCTCCCGAAAAATCTCATGTACCAGCAATGTGTTTCAGCTCCCGAAAAATCTCATGT